AAGAAAGAAAGAAAGAAAGAAAGAAAGAAAGAAAGAAAGAAAGAAAGAAAGAAAGAAAGAAAGAAAGAGGGAAGGAGGGGAAATAAGAATGGAAGGGAGGAAGAAAAACAAGACAGTAATGATCACAGCCGTCCAAAGCAGGTTAATATAGAATTTATTTATTTCATCGCCTTCCTTCCTGCCTTCCTCTCATTTTTTTCTCATTTTCTCTCTTTCTCTTACTCTCTTTCAATCTTTCGCATTTTATCTCTCTTAATCCTCCCTCCCTTCTTTTCCTTTCACCTCCCATTCTTTTTCTCTTTCACGGGAATCTTTCCCTTTCTTTCAATCTTCTGCATTTTCCTCTCAATCCTCCCTCCCTCCTTTCCTCTCTCCCTTCCTTCCCAGCCTTACCTCCACCTTCCCCAGAAAGCGGGGGGAGGGGGGGGCTTCAATCAACACAGACTTTTCCTGCTTCAGTGACAAAAAATTATGGGGGGGCGGGGCGGCAAAGACCTCTTGGGGGCTTTCGGGGGACAGAGCCCTTTTCTCCCAAAGAAGACAATTTCTAACAAAACGTCGGAGCAACAGACCCAACCTGGGGGAAATAAAAGACCCTACCCCTAAAAAAGTGAAGGGGGTGAAAGACCCCTCCCCTAAGTCTTATTAATTTTTAGTAGGTGTCTTCTCTTGTCACGGCCACTTAACTCAAATGTCTCTGTGCATTATTATTATTATTTTTGCAATAACAATGACAGCAAATTATTCTTGCAGAGCTGGGAATTGAATTGAAATCCTTCAGGGTGGGGGACGGGGGGGGGCTTTGTTTTGGGTTTAGGAGACACTTCGGAGGGTCCTAAAAATTAGCTCTATCTATCTATCTATCTATCATCTATCATATCTATCTATCATATCTATCATATCTATCTATCTATCTATCTATCTATCTATCTATCTATCTAATCTTCCCACCCTTGTCCCTTCCGAGATATAACATAAAGCAGATTTTTCCCCTTCTTTCCTTTCCTTCTCTTCCCTTTACTCCTGAGTAAAACCTTCCATCCCCATACTGGCTTCAGGTCTTTGAAAACCCTAGAGTGAAAATTAGCCTTACCAAAAAAAAAAAAAAAAAAAATCCACCTTTTTTTGGGGAGTCTCAGACTGGAGACGCCTTCATTTAATTAAGGGGCTTTACATTTTTCACCGGTTTGAGCCCTTCAGATGGAAAAGGCGTGATTGCAACCAACCAATCACTATGCCCAAAATTCGGGTTGAGAAATTGAATTTCTGGCTTGTTGATCTGGGTTGCCTTCAGACGTTCAACCTTGGGGTCAAGTTCCCGGTTTATTTGCTTTCAAAGATTCCTTTTGAAATATTGCCAAGCGAGAGGAGGGGTATTGCCCAGTAGATGCCATAGAAGGATTTTTATTCTGGGCTACGAGTTGATGTGTCATTTAATTGTTGTGTGTAAAACGTCCTGGAGTGAAACCTGAATTTCACATTAAATTCTGTTGAACTTACTTGCAAGTCAGCAAAGAGGCTTTTCCTAAAAGAAGGAAGGGAAGAGCTTTAAAACCCCAAGAAATCATGATTTCTGTTAAATAAGATAAAGGCAAGGCAAGGCGGTGGAAGAGAAGGAGAGAAATGAAATACCCTTTGCTCGAACAATTTCAGAGTTTACTGTCTCGCGTTTTTAATCTTTGCTGGTCTTCCCAGCACTTTTCTCCCCTTCATATTTTCCTTTTTTTAAAAAATAAAAATAAAAATTGCAAAGAAATTTATCTCCGGGTTGCTTTTGTAAGGCTTTTGAACAAACTGGCGAGGCTAAGAGAGCAAATAATCCCACTTTTTGAGAATAAAACACGGGTGGGCTTAAAAAGGCCCCCCGTTTTTCAGGCAAACCCCCAAAGCAGCTTCTCCCCTTCTCCTTCCTTTCCCCTCGCCTCCCACCCCATATTGCTAATAACCCCATTTAAAACTTCATCAGCGATGTAATGATAGCAAACAGAGCGGCAATTGCCTGTTAACAGTTGGATCTGCGCTGTAATTAATTCAATGTCTGTTTTAATCAAACCGAGGAGCGATCAAGTTTTCTCAGTCCAGGGTGGCATGCGTGACGTCACCCTAAAAGACAGCCGGCCAATCCGGAGGGGGCCTGCGGGGCACGTGGGCTCGGTTAAAATGAAAAGGGGACAAAAAAAAAAAACCACCAGGGGGAAAAGATAGAGGAGGTGGAGAAGAAGAAAAAAGAAAAGAAATTGCAGAGGAAAGTCTGGGCGAGTTGGAGGGGTTTCCGCGGAGGAGGAGAGAGCCGGGACAACGAGGGGGGCCGCCTCCGGAGCTGTCCTTGGTGCTGAAACGGCGCGCCGAAGGCCGTCTCGCTCCGAAATCTTCCCTCCCCCGAGCGATAGCTCCCGAAGGATCCCGCAGGATCATGGGAGGAGACGAAGCGGAGATCCCTCTCGTCCGGTCCTTTGGGCGGTTTCAAAGGTGACGGTCATTCTCACTGGCCTTCCGTATTAACGGGGTTCTGAGCTTCGATGTCCTGGGCTGTTAGGTTCATTTGGGTGGGGTGCTGTCCGTTGTGCTGAACCCCCTTCCCAGAGTGTCTACCCACCCCATCAGATCTTCTCTCTCTCTCTCTCCATCTTTTCATTTCTTGAGGTTGGCCTTCTTTCCCCCTGGGCTGTTGCAAAAGTTTGCTTTCATCCCTATTGCTGGGATCTTTTAGACACATCGGGTCGGATTTGGTCTTCCATCTTCGATTTAGAGATCTGGGCGGCTGAGGGGTGCTCGAGGGGGACCAGAGGTTGCGATAGCAGGACGATTTCCGAGGAAACCTTGTAGCAGTTTATGGGAGAGCCCGCTCCGTTGAGCTCAATGCGACCTAACCTCCCCGTAAGCAGAAATGAACGGAAGTCTCACCCGCTTGAAGTTGTTTCCTCAGCCTTGACTTTGGAGTAAGTCAACAGCTGTATAAGTTGGGATTTATGCATGCTTAATCGCCAGTCAACCTTGTTGAACTCAATGGGTTGATTCTTTTTACAAAGCTGCCTGATTAACCCCCAATTCTTTTTATAAAGCCGTCCGATTAACTGTTTTGGTACCAACTCAGCTCGGATCTTTCCTTTTCCCTTTGCCTTTTGACATTTTCCCTTCCCTTTTTCTCTTCCCGCTGCAGCCAATTTGGACGCTGATTTCCCCCCCCCCCCCCCCCCCCGTTCCGTGCGCCCCCACCGCCCCGCAAGTCGAGATCTTGGATGTTAAATGCGGGCCAGGACTTGTGCGCTTAACGCGGTGCAAGCGGTTGCGCCTCCTTGGGCTCTCTCCCTCCGTAACCTCGGCGGGTTAATGCCATCCTGAAAGCAGCATGGAAAACGCCAACGGATTTGGGATCGACTCCCTCCTCTCCCATCGATCCGGGAGCCCAGCTGTGCCCAAAGGAGACCCGCTCCTGGGAGAAAGCAGATCCCCGCTGGAACTTAGCCCTCGCTCGGAACTCAGCAGCGGATGCCTGTCTCCTCCGTCGCCCCGGAGGGATTGCTTGGAAGCGGCAGCTCAGTTACCCGGCGGCGGCGGCGGGGTGGTGAGGCTGGAATCTCACCTGCCGGGCCCCCCCATTTCGGCCGCCTCCGCTCAATCCAGAACGGTGACCTCCTCGTTCCTCATCAGGGACATTTTGGCCGATTGCAAGCCCTTGGCGGCCTGCGCCCCTTATTCCAGCAGCAACGGACAGAGCCCGCAGGAAGTCCCCGTGCCCATTTCAGCCAAGGCCAGCAGCGAGGACTTTCGAGAGAAAATCGAAAAAAATAGCAGTAACTCTTGCCTGGATCCAGACTACAAAGGTAAGAAGGGAAGGCGGGGGTCAAACAGGCGGGGTTGGCAAAGGGGAGCGGGGAAAAAAAACAGCGTCAAGTTTCTAAAGGGGACCATCAAATTATTTTATTTTATTTTTTTAGAAAAGTCACCAAGTTTAGTTCTCGTTCTGTAAAGTCACCCGAAATTGAAACGGGGGTAAAGAAACTAAACTTTTCTGAGCTTCTAACCACCTCTTTCTTCCCTTTGCTGATGGACCGGCTCTCCTTACCCCCTGATCTTCCAACCCTTCTCGTCTTAATTTCCCGATTTATGCCATCATAATGCTAATATCCTAAGAACAAGATCGCGCGAAGCGTTAGTACATACGTATAAACAAAAAGATGTATAAAAACAGGTGTTGAAAGACTCTGGAAAGAGAGTGCAGAAAAGAGCGACATTAAGGGGCCCGGAGGCTAAAACGAAACGAAGAAGAAGTTGCTGGAATTGGCTACATCTCGTTCAACGAAAAGAAGGACCAGGGGAGACATGAGGGGCTGCCACAAAGAAGAGGGGGGGGTCAACTTATTCTCCAAAAGCACCAGAAGGAAGGAGAAGAAGCAACGGGTGGAAGATTATTAAAGAGAGATCCAAGATCTGAGCAACAGAGGGAATTTGGACGGTTCAATTAGCAACCTTTGACTTTGCTGCGGGGATCAATATATGTATTGGGACAACTTCCTCGGCGTCGGGATAACGGCGCAATTCACTCTTAATTCATCAGTCAATCTTATATTGCAACCACAAAATTATCATTGTCCTCATTTTTGGAGTTATTGTTCCTAAGAAAAATACGGATCTTGCTGAGCCAGAAGCAAAGAGAGAATCCAACTTCTGCTTAGGTGTCTGTCCTCCCCACCCCCAAGTTTTTCCAAATTTAATAGGTAGACTGCCTCTACCTAGGGAGGTTCCAGAAGAAAATCCCCCCCTTTTTTTTTTCCAAAGGGAAAGCTGGGTTGAATACAGCCCCCTTCCCAGTTTCATTCTGCCCTGCATACTTTGCCCCCTACCCATTCTGCTCTTAAAGCTCCCCCATTTTTGTTCATCTTTAAAGGGGGGGGGGAATCTGATGATGGTTTTCTGGAGGAATATGCACCAAAGAAAAATGAAACAGGAATTTTTTTGAAAGATTGTCCTTGGTGAACAATTTGATGTAAGCGCGTGGCCGCAGAGGATATAAAACACACGACTGTGTGCGTTTCCAAATAGGGGGAAGTAAATGACTTAGAAGTTATTGTTTTCCTTTTAATAAGTTAGTCGGTGTGTAGTTTCTCCCTAGAATTCCTGCCATGAACAAATCTATTTTGGTTTTATTCTTACCATCAAATCAATATTGCCTTGCCTCCTAGATTTTATTTTATCAGAGCAAAAGAGACCAGCCTATGTGGCACACTCCACCATCAATCTACTCAGGATTTACTGGAAGGAGATAGAAAGTCGAAATTCCTGTTTCCTTCTTCATTTGGAAGAGTTTTTGACTCTGGGCCGAAGTGGTTCAAGTCTCATTTCTAGTTAATTCGCATCTAGTTAATTCACTTCTTTCTCTGTCCTGCAAATATAAGCTGGAAATAAAGGCCCATAAGAGGAGAAAACAGTTGTGTTTGTGTTTCTGGAGACTTGAGAATAAAAGACGAATTGTAGTGATTTCCAAACGTTTCTCTCCTTTTTCTCTAAAAAAAAAGGTTTTCAAAGATTGCTCTCCTTAAGATTGTTTGCTCCATTGGATATAATTTTTTTTAGAAGGAAAATTCTCTACCAGTGTCTAGAAAGGGGGAAGGAAGGAAGGACGGCAGGAAGGAAAAAGGACAAGGGGAAGAAGGAAAGAAGGAAGAACATAAGGGAGTAAGGGAAGAAGGAAGGAAGGAAGGAAGGAAGGAAGGAAGGAAGGAAGGAAGGAAGGAAGGAAGGAAGGAAGGAAGGAAGGAAGGAAGGAAGGAA